CTGCAGCCCTCTGCGGCCCCAGCCTTGCACAATGAGCGCTCACTGACGTAAGTTGCAGACAGTGTGTGATCAGCAATGAGCTGTCCCTTTCTCCTCCTGGGGCACTGCAGCACTAGCACCCCTCTTCTCAAGCCCGTGCCAGACACAAACGTCTCTCTTTCACCCTCCTCACTACCCCGTTAAGAATCTACTGCAGAGAAATGGGGTTTCCTCCCTTGTCATTTAGTGACTGCAGCCAACAATCAGGCTGGGAACCGTTGGTGCTTTCATGCAAATATTTTTAGGGCCAAAACCTCTAATAGAACCTGGGGTAGCACAATGGCAATCTCGTGAGGAGCTGATCAATTGAATTTAAGAATTCCTTGGAAAACCAGTCATTTATTTCTCATTAGACGTGATTTTTATGCCAGACTCTCCTGTCAGACCCAATATAATGTACCTATCTTGGGGGCAAATGGGGTGGTAGGGGATACACCTCCTGGTGCAAAGGGCAAAAGGAAGGAGCCACGGGAGAGTGGCTGCTGTTTCCCTTGCCAGCTGCACCCTGCTAACAGTAGCCATTCTGTGCCAGTGAGAGAAAAACCCAAAATCGCTCCATGTGCTGGGCAACCTAACTGGATATTCAATATTTATGTAACAAGCTGCAGCGAGTAGAAGTAGAAGGGCTGTTTTATAACACTCTGAGCAAATGAGAATGGATGGACTCCCGGCATGTTGCAAGCTGCAGGTCAGCCAGTGCCTGGCAGTGAGGAGGGCTGGCGTGGGCATCTGTTGGGTTTACACCCGTGAGTTCTCACATTGAAAGTCTTGATAAAGCTCCTGGTGTGTTAGTAGAGGAACGAGGCTCAAAGTGTAAGAACAGGAGGAAGAATGGGACAATCCTGCACAAACATCATTGCCTAAACCCACACATCATCCTTCAGCTTCCTCATACGTAATGTTTGTTTGCTACTCATTCATTTATGGCCAGCTAAATGAATGCAGACGCCTCCAGGGACAGCAGTGAAAATGCGGTACTGTACGTGGAGTACAGGAGGGAAATACTACATGGGCTTGCATTTGCAAAATGTTTTTAAACTGCAGATTTGTTGCCATATAAATGCAACATTGAAAATCATTAGGAATTAAACAGCAGCAGGAAGTTGTGGACATGACATACAATCGGCCTGGGATGGCAGAACCCTTCATATTTATCCACTGAGCCGTATCTTAAAATTTAGATCAAAATTAAACAGAGCTGACTCTGAGAAAAGCACACGACTCTATAAGTGATTACCCATGCGATTCAGTGGCTGGTGCTGAACGCCTGTTTCTTAAACCCCAGGTGGGAAGTCTTACCACACAAGATAACGCCACTGACTGGCGTCAGTAAAGCTCTGCACGTGCATGAACATCTGCAAATTCTGTGCTTATAACCCAGCCAAGCTTATAATTCTAAAGGATGGGCCATTAATATTAGATGAAAGCTCAGATAATAAAAATGGCTTTCATAGTGAAGACCATTTTGTTACCTCCCAAGAAACACCAAGATGCAACATGCTACACTTCATTTCTTCTGGCCATTGGTCTTCCTTCAGGTAGATGTTTTATAAAAGCCAAAGTATGGATCCAAGAGCCTGACTTCACTCAGCAGAGTACCCTCTCAGTTAGAGAGTAGAGATTTTTCCCCTCTGATTAGGGGGGAAAGGTCAGGGAATGGCCACACCACTTTCCACCTAATTCACCGCAATTCTTTATGATGCTGTAGAGAAGGGGAGATGGGGATGGCAGGGTGCATGAACCAGGAGACGGTAGCTTTCATGGTGCTCTTTGGCTGCTCCATGGGTCAGACAGTGGATGTCTGAGCCCTTCTACATGAGGAAAGGTCAGGAAGCTGCCCTGCAACAGAGCCATGTGCAACAACTCTCTCATCGGTCAGCCCTGTTCAGACAGCAGAGGCAGATTTGCTGACAGTTTTTCTCATGTGACAGAAAGGTCACCCAAAGGACCGTCCCTGTTCCAGAGAAATGAGTGCAAAGGTGTGCACTGTATCTTCTCACTGGCATCAGGATTGTGCTTTCTGGGCCAGCAGCAGCTCTGAGCCCAAGTGCCCCTGCCTACAGCTATGTGCCACCTTCCACCTCAGTGCTGAGCCACTAAAGAGGGCTTTGACATTCCTCTTTCTAGTTAATGTTGCCTAATTTATTATTCAAATTGGAGGAGAGTGAGGTAAGACAAAAAGCACTTACCAAAACATCTATATCACCTTATACTGGACATCAAACCCACCTTACTTTCGAACAGGATACCCAGACCATGGCACATTGAAATACTGAGACCGAATGCCTACAGTCATTAATTCTTAATTTTTTCTGGAGTGCAGTAGTGAAATACAGCAGAACACATACTTCAGCACAGTAAACTGGTGCAAGGCTCTAATGTCTAGCAAAGAAGCCCTGTTTCTTTTCTCCAAAAGCAGGTCTCAGTGCAGGTCCTTCCCTTCCCTTTTCATACGTGTACATGCACGTGTCCCCAGCACCCTCCAGCTCTGTCCCACACTCTTGGTGCGTGCTCCCTGCCCTGCCCCACTGCAGCAGACTGCAGGCACTCAAGCCCCAAGAAATGCACAGAGCACACAGTAGCATTTAACACTTTGCAGTTGTCGATTAATCATTCAGGGCCTTAATAATATTTCATTCTGAATAGTACCATACAGCAAGTGCAGGTGCAATAACTGGTGATGTATCAACCCTGAGGAAGAAGAAAAGCCCCTTCTTTGGAAATTTTTGTGCGTGGACAGATGTGGGGCTGTGTGGTTAGATGTATTTCATGACCCTTGCCATGTAGTGATGGATGGGTGACAAACACCTCCAAAAAGATGGAATAGAAAGTGTTAGAGCATGAAAGAGCGTTACATGAGATGTCCTTTAATGCGAAGCAGAACCAAAACAATTCTGTAATTTTCACAGTGACTCGCCACGGGCTCAGGGGCGAGGTACGTCCATGTAAAAGGTGAGCTGGGGGTATCTGGTGTGGCTAAGTACAGCGAAGCATGAGTGAGCCCAGGAGCTGCAGGTGGTGGGACAGCCCCGAGCCGCGGCCACGCCAGCCGCAGCAGCCCGAGGCGCGCCTGCGCTCCGTACCAGGTGTGCAACGCAGCACGGTGCTTTAAGGCACAAGGTCCCAGCAGACCAAGGAGGGTTTTTATGGAGCTGAACCCTGACAGTTGGTGCACCAGTCCTGGGGGCCGACATTAGGAGTGCAGCTTGGGGTCCCCAGCTAGCAAAGAGAGGTGTGCACCCTGCAGAAATGTTTGTCAGCATTGCTCTCCTGATGCAGCAGCTGATTTCCCAGTTATGTTTGGAGATGACAGTGCTGTCACTCAACTGTGCTAATTTACAGTAGTTAAAAAGTCATATAGTAAGCAAAACTCCCAAGCTCCTGATGAAACCTGTCTCGGGGGAGTTTTCTCATCAGAGTATTGACTGGTGTTTTGGTAAAAGGCATGAGTTACAACCCAGGACTCCAGGTAATTCCAGCCCCAACTTTGCTGAAATCCAGAAGAAAATGGGATTCTTTGGTACTACATATCACTGAGATATTATTCTGGGCTGAGGTTTTTGTCCCAACACAATCAGAAATGTCACATGGAGAATTTTATGCCATTCAAAGTCATTCAGCTAACAGCACCTGCATGAGAGGGGGCCTAAACCCTCACCCACCAAAGGCTGAGCTCATGTACCCCACATCACTTCCTCCCACTGAGCCCCCAGAGAAAAAAAATCAGGAATTAGAGGAAAAACAACACAAAACAAAAATCCCCCAGACTTACAGACTTTGTGCTGCTTTTAGCATGCACTAGAGATGGTTTTATTTGCTTTTAAGCAATTGTGTCTCATATTTCCCCCTCCCTTCCTTATTTTTAGACACTCTAAAAAAGACCTTCAAGGCTTGGTCTGCAGCCCTCCGTTGGCCCCATGCTGATGCTAGCCCCCTGCATGGACATGATCACCTCCATGGCACTGTGGTTCTTCCAGCACGTCAGAAAAAAAAAATCCTTTAACCATACCCGCAATGTAACTCATCTTAATTAGTCCTGCTGCTAACTGTGGGAGGAGAACCCCTTGCAAAGCGGGGAATGAATCATTTGCAAATGAATATTAAACTCGTTTGGAAATGGAACCAAAAGAACTGAGTTAGCGAGACTCTCCTCCCCTTGAGAGCCAGAGCTGCTTTTGGGCGGCAGCAGAAATCCCCTTATCCCACCCAGCGTGTGCTGCAGGCGTTTAGTGCGTGCGGCATCGGCATGGCTACACGCAGCCCTGCTGCTGCATAACCACATGTGGATTTAGATGTGTTGCGAAGGCTGTCACTTTATGGACTCTCTTAGCAACAAATTGCAGAGGTGAGCTGAGATGAAGTGCTCCAAGTCTTCCACCCCACTTCCCAGAGGCCGTGCTCCCCACCTCTCCTCTCAGGAGGAATAAATCTCACCCATCTTTCCCTTGGCTGTGCCAGTGTCAGACTGATCCAAACCACTTGTTCATCCCCATCCAGACCCAGCGAGATCAAGGTGGGACCCTGTGTGCTCCAGGCTGTGCGGGACGGCCGTGCTGCCGTCCCCCTGCCAGGCGTTCTGCAGAGCACTGGGGCTGCCCAGGGCGGTTTTTGCAGTAATCGGTGGTTTTCTGCAGGGACTGCTAGCTAATGCACAGGTTTCTGTGGAGCCACACCAGAAAACGTGGCTGAACTTGTCAGAAGACACAAACTATACTATGGACCTGGAAAAGGGCCACGCTCAGCTTTTCTTTTCACAACAATTTAGGGGTTATTTCAGTGTTTTTAAAGAGATAGTATTTTTTTGTTGTTGATTCAGCTTAATGCATCAAAAATCCTAAAAGAACTACAGTGAGAAAAGGAAGTTGAGGGCGGTCAGCAATCGAGCCAAAACATTAGGCAAATACAGAAAGAAAAGCAGCCTCCCTGTGTGAGAGCAACAGTATTTGGGGGTTAATGACACTTTTTGGTCCAGATTGGCATAGAGAAAAGGACATTCTTAAGACTTAAGAATATTGCTGTAACGTGAACTGTAGTTTGTAGCCAGCTCTTGTTTTGAAGTTATTTATTTACCATGACTAATTCAGACTTTCGCCTCACACGTGGCATTGCCTGGGCTCTCTGGGCACCAGGACACGAGGCGCTTGGCGCCCAGGAAGGAAACGCCACCGGTTCCCACCGGCAGTGCCAGCCTTGCTCCGGACCCTGAAAATGAGTATCATTAACACCGAGTTTCTAAAATGCATTTCACATCTATGCACAGATGTGTGCCAAAATTAAAGTGTGGATGCAGAATCAAATTGCTGCCTTGCTATTTCTCATCTTGCCCTATTTTTTTTTTATAATTAATCAGCCTGGAGACACTAAGGAGCCAAGTGTTGTGGCAGCGAAGAGGTGATTCGGGAAGGACCAGTGGGCTGCAAATCTCCTGGCAGCAGGACCAACTCCACTCTGCAGCCACCCCTGTTTTAAGGGTAAATATGCTGGTAAGTGTGTTCAACCTACCACTGCTTCTCCTTTTCTGTGCCTGGGGAGCAGGGTGAGGCAGGCAGCACTTCAAACAAACACAGGTGGTTTAAGGTTCCACCCCACCCAAATCTCCTCTGTGGTTTGAAGAGAGTGTGTCCCGCTGCCCCTTTCCCTGCACAGGCAGCCTCTCGGCTGTTAGTAAGGGGGGGGGCGGTTGGGGGATTCTGGGTTCAGTTATGGCGATGCCACTTTCAAATTCCTTCAGTTCTGTGTGACGCACATCGGGCACAAGCTGAGCTGCACCAGGCAGAGAGCTGGGCTAAAAATAAACCCAGAGCATCGCTGCTGTGTTAGTCCCCCATTGATATTTCCTGGTTTGTTTTATAATATCTTCAAGGCCAGTCAAATGCGGGGTGGGGGGAGAAGGAATATTTTGCTTTCGAGGCTGGCTCAGGAGCCAACTGGTACAAATCAGTGTCATTTCACTGAATTGGTACACAGCGTTACGTTCACTTTGGTACTGATTCACACACGTGCTAAGGCATACTAAATAAAAAAAAAAAGTTTGTGCTAGTTCTTAATGCATTCTTTTATTGCTACTGGCTTAATTTATGTTAATTAATTAAATGAATGAACAAATTAATTCAGCACTTACCTACCCACGTAAAAGAAAGGGACCTTGGTGCAACGCGGACTCAGCAAGTAGCCGAGTGCTGGCACCCTGAAAGAGAGACTGGGGGAACGGGGGGGGGTGGTCCGGTGGACCCCAGGTTAAGGGCTTGTCAGCTTTATGGAGAGAAGGAATAAACCAGTGAAAAGCTTCCAAACAGGAAATTTTGGGAGGAAAGTGCATGCTTTTAGATACCTTCAGACATTGCTTTAATCATCTGGAAGGTGTAAGGTCTCTGCCGTACAGGTCGGGGGTAGGGGTGCTGCCCTCCCCACGGCTGGGGCTGGCTGCCCCACGCACAAGCAGTGCGCGCCACAAGGAGCACTGCGGGCCGGGGTCCTGCCGCCCTCCTGCAAAACCAGCCGCCTGCCCGGCGAGCGGGGCCCTCATCCTGGCTTTCGTATGTTACCCTGTGCAAAGCTGTCTGAGGGAGGAGCATTTTGGAGCAAGCTTTTAGACGGGCAGCCGGGAGAAGACGTGGCGGTTGCGTTGGGTGGCAGCAAACTCCTTGGGGTCTGCCCGGCGGCAGCGCCCACGGTGTGCCCGGCTCCCCTCGAGCGTGTGGGCAAACCCCATCGCCCTCCGTGCCGGGCACAGCCCAGGCCGGGGTGGGCCCCTGCGCTGCCGCTGCCTGGGGACACCCGCCTGCCCCCGGGCCCCCCAGCTTGGCAGGTCCCGCTATGGCCAGGCTACTGGAAATTAGCTCACATCACTTTTTCTTTTTTCCTGGAGGCAAAAAGTAATTTATTCCTCTGAAGGCCAGGGCTGAAGTCTTGTGCTAATGAATGCAAACCATCAGTGAGCAGTAATGGAAAATCGGGGGTGACGTGGCAGGCAGTGGCTTGCTTTCAACGCACAAAAAGAGCCCTTTTAAATTTAAATTTAGCGAGGAATTAAAAGCACATATAGGCAGACTCTATTAGAAAGTGAAATATTTGATCTTGGCTATTAATCTGTTATAAGAATACTTTCATTTCCTTGCCATATGTATCCAGTGATAGGCTTTCATAAATGAGATCACATTAAAATGTACTTTATGTTTCTAGTCAAATCTCTTTTATTATTATGCAATCCTAGTTAGGAAAAAAAAAAAACAATTACAGAAGCAGACTAGGAGGAGTAAATTATTTTAACTCATACAAGTGAAATACTGCTCCTACTGAAGGCTATACATTGTGCAATGCTAAAATGCCTTGGGAAGAGGTTCCTGCATCGCAGCTGTGCTATCACCTCTAGGATAACTTATAGGTGGTGGAAATACAAATAGAGCCTAGGAGTGGCACATGTAGCAAGGGGCTGCAATGTTGCAAGCCTTGACAACATCCAGACACACAAGGACTGAATACAACCTGGCTATACCGCTTTTGTTAATTACTGTTGACCTTTTCAGAGCTGTCTAGGAGGCTCTGAACTGTCTCTTACAGTGGCTGGGAGAGGCGCATAAACCCAAAGGCCTGCTTGGGCCCCCAACAGACTGACCCAGTGTCCAGGATATGAAGTTAAAAAACAACAACAAAAAAAAAAACAAACCAAAAAACATACACCACAAAAAACCTCCCAACAACACCCCCTGCAAAAAAAAAAAAAAAAACAAAAATCAACCCAACCCAACACAAAGCAAAACCTGTTTGAAACATTTTTTCAGCAGCCGGCGGTGGAGCAGGTTCAGCGGGGCTGCCCTCCTGCCGCTCTGTCACCTCTGCCCGCACAGCTCTTCTCCTGGCTGCTGCGGCTGTCAAAGATAAAAAGGATAGGCTGGTAGACTTGGGGCAGCCCCAAACCAGCCCAGAGACCTGGGAAGGGCTGCGGTGGCTGTGCAGGCGGTTTTGAGGCAATGATGTCAATCAGAGGTGCTTGGAAAGGTGCTGACACCTTCACAGAGCATCGGGCGGTGCTGGCGAGGGGAGCGAGGGTGCCAGCCCCGGCCCCGTCCGGGGAGGGACCAGAGGTGGGACACGGGCAGCCAGCCTGGGAGGGCTTAGATGAAAGAGTGTTTGCGCTGTGTTTTAGCCTAGGCTGGTCTGGCTTCAGGCAGGGCATCGGCTCAGCTAACCTCCCCAGAGTCCCAGAAACCAGAATTATTCTGCAGTTCTGATTTTACATATAGGTACATACAGACCTACATGTGTACGTTTACATATATGTATAGTCATATATATGCATTACATTTGGCCTGAAGTCAAATCTGTGTTTTATAATGGGTCTATAACTAATGTGAGCTGCCGCTACTGGACCTCTGCACTGCTGGTGGACGGGAGCTTTGTGCGAGCCCGGGAGCCTCCGCTCCGCCGGTGCTGCCCCGCTCTGCCCGCGGCTGCCCTGCCCGGGCTGCCGGGGCCTCGGCAGGGCTCGGGTCGGGCTGCGCCCGCGGCAGCGCAGCCGGGTGGGCAGCTGGAGGCTTGGGAGAACTGTGTGGCGTGTTTGGGTAGAGGGCTTACTTCAGAGGTGAAGGGACCGCTGGCAGCCTGAAACCAGCACGGAAGAACATGACAGATACTTTATGATGAGAAGGAGACAGTGGTTTACATCTTGTAACATACACTGGCAAATTAGGCACAAATGTCTGCTTTATACCTTAAATACCGGGGCACCCAAACCCATGTCATATTCCTGCTGCATTTCAAACATCTTTTCATTTCCATTCAGGCAGACGGACAGAAGACCCAGCAGGGCCCACAGCATCCTCTCGTACACATTGCTGCTGCAGAAAGCTTCACGTCTGGGCTCACAAATGCTGTGGAGCCAAACGCTTCCCCAGGAGTGGGTAGTTGCTGGTGCTCAGCAAACATGTGCATTCACATTCTGCTTTAGCTGAAGCTGAAAAGTCCAGTCTGGTCTTTTCTAGAAGTTCACAAGTAGAGGCTGGATCAGGCTTAAAGCTGCCAAATGCAGCATATTTTTGTATTGTGTTAATACTATTAATAAATTAACCTGAAACAACTCCTTGCCAGTGAAACTAGGATCCTGGCATGACACTGATGGAGAGCTGCCCAGAACAAACCAGTGTCCGAACTTGGTCTCCCCGATGTCCCCCAACTCCAGGCTCGGGCCTTCCTCAGCTGGGTGGGCTCAGCAGTCGGTGTCCCAGCTGTGCCCTATTTCACAGCCCTGCAAGCAAGGGCTTCCAGCCAAGGGCACCCAGGTGAGAGAATAAACCATGCTGAGGTGCTGATTGCGCACTAGAATAGCCAAGATCATCTTTCATAAAAGAATGAAAAATTGCTGTCCGTGTCTGGTTTTTAACTATTGCAGAACCTCATGAATTTCCTGCTTTTTAAGCATTATTAACCAGCAGAGATTTACAGCTGTTTGCATTTGTGAAGCCTCAGATTACTAACATTTTCTGCTTTTAGAAAATAGGCTACAGATTCTTTAGTAACGAATGAAGAAATGTCAAATATCTGGGCACTGAAATGAAATCCCTATTGTCAAGGCAATTAAATACCTCATTCCTGTTGCACTTGGTTTACTGTGCCTTCCTATTGGCAAACTGCTCTGCAGTAAGTTTTGTGTCATTACCGTGAATTAACTATGTTCTACACTCTATAAATATTTATTATGATCAAGACATATTAGGCATGGCAGATGCAAAAATCTGATGACGCTATCTCAAGCAGCAATACAGTCTTTCAAGCCAGCATGAGACTGTAGACTGCTCAGACCATTCCATGATGCATTGAGATTTTTGTGTGGAGCCTCAAAGAGCGTGCAGAGTCTAGCTGAAGTTCACAAAGAAAACAAAGCACTTGAGCACCTGGTAGCTTGATGCTTTTTTTTTTTTTTTTTCCTTTTCTTTAAAGTAGAGGCCAATGACACATTTGGAGATAATTAAAACAAAGGCTGAGCTTTTTTTAATATGCCATGAGTATTAGCAGCTGGATGAGGAAGAAGCCAGCAAAAAAGCAGCATACTCTTACACCATCTATAAATAAAACCAGGCTTCAAAACTGAGAGAGCAGTCTTTCTTTTTTTTTTTTTTTTTAAATTCCCTTTTTCCCCTCCACAGAAAATCTTTTCTTTGTGCCAGGACTAAAATATTAGCACCGTGTTCCCTCCTCTGTTTAAACAGACCTCATTGCATCTAAGTGCCAAAAGAGTGGAATTCCTGAACAGCAGGTGAAAAGAAAACACAAGATCAAAAGCAGCTCTGGCTGCCAAGAGAACCTGCAGCACTGCTTGGGGGTGCATGAAAAAGTCACGCAGACTCCTGGTGGTGTCAAAGACTTTTGGAAGGTCATCAAGGAGGTTTTTTTTCAAGCATCCCACTTCAAAAAGCAGCACTAGGAGACAAACCTGCAATACATCATGAGGATGGTGCTAAAGATACCGATCACCCACTTGTAGGAGAATTTAACTGTTTTTCCCCATCGCATCTATGGAAGCAGCTCTAAGAAATCAGTGCTCAGAGTGGAGCCTGTGGGTAAGAAAATAGATGTAAGCGCTCATGCTGGAGGAACGTTAGGCAATGGCTGGTTTGGGTCCATAGCCCACTGGGAGCACTATTGAAGAAATGTGTCTTTTTCAGCTCATCCTTCCAGTGAAGGCGAAGGGCCTATGTTTTGCTGTCCTTGTAAACAGCCAGCTCTAACATTAGTTCCTATCGCCAAGCAACAAAGTTCTTTTAAATAAAGACATACCTTAGTAGGGTTGAAAATAATCTGAGATGCACATCTATTCCTAAAGACAGCCTTTTTTTTTTTTTTTTTTTAATTTTAAAATTCTGCATCTGAAAACACAGTATGACAGAAAGCATTTATATACAACTGCAGTGTTTTTGGTATAATACAGTATTTAATACATCCATTTATTTTTCTGCAAAAAAATTTGCTTTGTCAGACAAAAAAACCAAATTCCCATTAACAAAGAATACAGCTAAGGCACATTGTTTTCTGCTAAATGAAAGACAAAAGGGTGAAAAAACGGGTAGTGCAATAATTGCTGAAAGTCACATTCTACTACAAGAAAAGCATTCTGACTTTGAACTTTGATTACCAGTCAATTTAAGACATTTCAATATCTCATAAAATACTCCTTTAAATAAATAGCAAAATATCTACATCTTTCAGTGTGTTCCATTTGAATTTCCAATTTTTTTTTAAACTTTGCTGTATATACATGGTTTTATTTTTTCTTATTCAATAGCTTACAAAATATTTCTGTACAATTTTATGCATATTATGATCTATAACAAAATAGTTATTTCTTAAAACTATATTACCACCAGTCTTTGAAAATGACAGAACAGGAATAACTTATTACGGACTATGTTAGGCAATACAAAAATCCAATCAAAACAAAACAAAAATGACAAAGTCAGAAAAATCATTTCATTAACTTGAATTAATTACTTTTTGTTCACAAATCTTGTTTTCTATGTAAACCCTTTTCAGTTGCCTTTGGGTTGTATCCTCATCTGAATACCAAAACAGGATAGGATGTGGGATTCCTAAAAGCACTGCAGCCTGCCGGGAATATTGGTGCTACTGAAACATGAGAGTTCTCACGGAGAAAAGTATTAAAGAAACCCAACAGATATGAGCCTTAGCAGAAGTCCTTGGTTTCTGCTGACTTTGACAACCTTTGGATGAAGCTCCAAAAGCCAGATTTTTGGAAATGCATTTATGACTTAGATGATAGAACCAGACTCCTCTATCTTCTAAGTGTACTGTCAGATTCCCAACAGTCGTTCAAAATCTAGCCTCATGTGGTGACATTCTTCAGATTTTAAGACCATACCACTAAGAGGATATATATTCTCCCAGCTACCAGTACAAATCAGAAAGGAGTGCTACTATGTCATATCAAAATGAGTGAAATTACTCAGAATTTGTCTTGTGCAGCTGAGAGCAGTTTGTCTGTTACAGTCTGAAGATAAATTAAAGGTTATTAAGTTTGTAGTTTGTAGGTAATTAAATCAACCTTCCTTATCTACAGTGAGTTGCAAAAGACAGGGCTCATAATTTCCTAAGGTTTATATGAATGTCTAAGCCTTCCTTTTGCCCAAAGGGAAGGTCATTTTCTTCCCTTAAAGACTGCATTTGTAAGCAATTGCTATTGTATTTGTGAAGTGTAAGCTGACAGCAACACAACTGAGCTGTAATAGAAATCTCAAGGTGCCTTCTATTCATTCCACAACAAACAGAAAAAGTGAGCAAGACACAGACAACACCAAATTTCCTAACACAGTTTAAGGCCACATTTAGAAAGGATGAAAGTAAGGCTTTCTTTAAGGGGCAACACACTGGATGCCACAATGGGAACAGACACCAAGCGATCCAAAGCTGATAAGGATTTACCCAAGGAAAATCTGAAACAACATCCTAATTTTGGCCAGCAGGTCTGTGCCTTCTTTTGGAGGTACGCAGGAAAATAAAATGAAATGCCATAGACATCCTCCTCCAGAATATTCCCAGCAAACTGAAGGTCCTCCCCTAGCAAGAGATTGCTTTCTTCTCAGTCAAGGGTGTTAATTACAACGGAACCAAAGACAAGTCAAGTCAGTACAATATACAAATGCAGCGCAATGAACCGCGCCTAGAATTGTCACTCTGTTATCAGAGGCACCTGTACAGTATCTTGCTGTTTATTTGGCAAGGTTACAAGTAATACTTCTAGATTTTAACAAAGTAGAAAGAGAATTTGCATAGATTGTACATTCAGTTCAAGGAGATTTCTGGTACCTTTTTTTGTTGTTATCAGGTAAACGTGTTTGCAGACACAGTGAGGTAGCAGCTGTGGTAGCACCCATGAGCAAAAGAAGGTAACCAAGGCAGAAGCAAAGAGCAGAGAGTGATCTACACACTACTGCTAGCGAAAAGGAACAAAACCAACGCGGTACCTGCAGAGGGTTAATCGCTGCCAACACCACACTTCACTGGAGACAGCCTAATGCTACTTCGGTCCTGGGTAACATGGGCTGCAAGATCTTGTTGCCTCAATTTTAAATGCTCTCAGCCTGATTCTTCTTTCCCTTACTGTGATGGTAGTGGTGAAGGTTTTCAAAGGCCAGTCTCTTCTACTCTACACATTCAAAGGGAGCTGCAAATCAGAGCATTTGCTCCCTCCTGAAGAGTCTACAGAAAAAAAGGTATTTCCCTACAAATTCGTCCTTGCTGCCCTTAACCCTAATTCACCCAAATTGTTTTGCTGTGCCTGGCTGCAACAGCAACTGCCCTCAGCAGGGGCTCTGCCGCAGGTATTCCTGCTCTCAGGAACTCCTGCTGGGCCCCTAACCCGGCAGCGTCCTGTCCCCTCCAACACTACATCCCTCCTGCCCTCTCTGGAGCTGTCTTGGCAGAAGCCTGAGGGTTTGGTCTGGCAAGACTTTTTTATGTGACGTTTTCAATTGTCATGTAATACGGGTTTAATGTAATGTCCTGTGAGCCCCTAAGACTATCTTGGAGGCCGTGAGTGGCTGAACCAAAAGTACATATGGATCATTATCTTTTCACAACCAAACTGAAGCAAAGGCCAGTGGGAAACGCTGCTAGCCACTTTCTACCAGGTTGGTCTTACTCTGTTGCTGAAATAACCAAACCTACTATTACATATATTAAATACCCATGCCTAAAAATCAGGAAAAGATAATTGCTATCACTTTTACCAGCTCTTTCATGTCTGTTACTACTGGGCTGACTGAAGGCTGCTCTGAAAAGTAAACTTTTCTGATTTGCAGCTGGGGTTTTTGAAGAAGCCTAAGGGATCTGGCTCACACAAGTACAAAACTTCCTGCTTAATGGAAAGAGGTGGAGTTAGCCAAGGTTTCCTGTGGCCAACCCCTGAAGCTTTGGGATCTGGGAAGACAACGAGGAGGGTGTGATAGCCAGCGGCAAGCTGGCAGTTCTCTGACAGCTGGGATGAAAGAGAACTAGAGAAATCAACAGAAAGTTGGTCCTCATTGTCTGGCCACAATAACAATCTGGATCTTGTTTTCTTTTTATCTGGGAAGTCAAAGCTGAGATCTTACGGTATCAGCATTTCTCAGCTTTGCTCTGCAGAAGGTGCCCAGCTTGTTCAAATTTTTGTTGCAGCACAATTGTGTCAAACTTTTGTAAAGTTTCAACATCTTCTTTACCCATCATCTCTCTCTTTGGTCAGGTTTAGAGTATCCCAGTTCTGATTCACTGACTTCACTACGCTGCTCACTATAATTGTAGCTAAGAGTGATGAAGACTTCATTAGTATTGCAATTAGTGCTGTAGCAGACGGACAAAAGGTGAATACATAGTAGTTGGTCCTTTATGAAAGGTGCTGCAGGATCATTGTTAATATGCTGTTAAAAAACTGTACGGGCATTGTGCACTGAAGCCAATACCTAGGGAAGTCAATTTGTAACACACGAATGCACACTCCTTTATCTCTAGGCTTAGCAATAATGAAGGCTTAACAACAGAGATACAGACTGACTTTCTTGTAGAGCACTTGCTATCATGAAGGAACTGTTAAAACTCTCTGCTGAGAGCACAAAAAATGAAGACATAATTCCAATTCTAAAAAAACCTTGAATATCAGAAAATGAAAATACAAATATTACTACTCAATGTCCAAATGTCATCAAAGAAAGAATTGGACAAATTTGAACATAAACTGTCTTTTGAGCTATTTCTATTAGCCTCAGGGTTTAACATTACCATATAAACAGGTTTGCATAATGCTAAGACTGACTTTGGACATAATTCATTAAATCACATATGTAGATGTTCTGCATTTTGCCACATTCCCTTTCTGTGTAATACTGATTGATCACAGAAGTGTTACTTGGATATCGTGCAGCATGGGCAGGGAATTTAAATGAGCGAAGCACCACACACGGAGGACAAATGTGTGCATATGGAAATACACCCCTCTCCACAGAAAGGGATTTTGATCAAAACTGGCTTTCAGCTGGAGTCCTATTCAGCAAGGACTAGCCAGTGTGATTGGAAAATAACACTTGCACATTCAAATGAAGATGCATAACTTGCTTGTTTTGTACGAACTATGTGTCCCTGCTCTGAATTCTCCTTTTCACCAAATGTAAGATCTGTGAAGTTATTCTCTTCTAACAATACATAATATTCATCACAGGCTCCAAGTGCCTGCCATTTCAGAGCCAGAAAAGCCACTAAGCAGGACGTTGGCCTTAGCAGTGCTTGCACAGCATCAGCTTGAAGCAAGCTCTGATCTCTGATGCAAAGAGTCTTGCTTTCCATGGTTTTTCTTCTTAACTACAGGAACTTGTAACTCAGACAGTGTCCCACATGTAACTTATGTCTCTGTGCCTCCATATTAGGAGCTATAGTAAGGTTGTTGTTTAGGTCCAAAACTTGACACTGCCCCCAGATGTTCCAAACACGGCAGCTCGTCCTTTGATGACTTCAAACACTGACAGTATTTACTTATGGCATACTGTCACACCTTTTATTTATGATGGACTTGCCGTTGAAGTCCTTACTCAGCAGTACTCTCTGTGGAAGTTTTGCCTGACAAAGAACTGCAGGATCAGCCTCTTCAGTTTTATTTCATAATTTTTAATAGCAGCACTGGGATTACCAGCTTGCTACAAAACTTATTTCTGTAGATGCTTTTTGTCTTTCAGAAAATAAACTAATATAAATTTTGTTCCGAGATATTTCAAACCTAGTATATAATGTAAATAGATATATCAGCAACCATTTGTTTTCTTTCCATTTTTTGTACTAAAACAGAATAATTTGCATCTTACAATTTAAATGATAAAAGTGGCAGATTTTCTTCTAACCACAAAAGATGGGATCGTTGCCACTTTCTGCTTGGTCCAGTTAATAATTAAAACTTATCAACAAAGCACTTAAAAACATTCCTGCTTAAGAATAAAAAAAGTATCAAATTTAAAAATCAAGTTATCTGTATGTGTGTGTGTGGGCGCACCCTTAAACGTATGATTACGTGCAAGACGGACTGAAATTTTGCGACTACCCCAGTACTCTTATTGAGAACAATCACTGACTAGGATTGTTAACAAATTTCACTGGGTGCCCTAAATATGATGTTCTTCATTTAACCTGCAGGGCTTGAGCTGTGCAGTTGCCATTGCATCAGTACGACTGAAGCCCTGAATTTCACAGTGAGGATTGGAGGTCCCCAGAAAATTTGAACTTCAGGAAGGAATGTTAGATTAAAAACAAGCACTGTTAAAAAAACTCCTACTGAATAAGTAATAACACTGTGTTTCTATTATATAAACCTGTTGGCAACCCTGGTTTTAAACACGCTTGCTTCTAGAGCCGGTTGAAAGGCTGGAACACTGTTTTGACTGAAATACTTCAACCAGCTCTTCTTTGCTACAAGCTTTCCTAAAACTATGGCTCTCGTGACTGACAAAATCAAGACAAAAAAAGAAAGGGAGGTGTGAGGGGAGGAAAGCCTTTTCTTAATAAAGGCAGCTTCAGTTAGTAAGATAACATAATCTTTCAGCTGCAAAAGCAGCACCTACTAATTAGTCATTGACTAAAACATAAATAATAAATACCTAAATTGTTCCTTCTATGCATCCATTTTTGTGCCAGATAAACATTTCAATGCTCTGCCTTAATGCCAGCACAGCTGACACTGCAATTTCAAGTCCAAAGCAAACTGCAAGTAGCTTTAAACCAACACTATGGAGAGAGATACTACAAGCCACTGGGATCTGTGTGTTACCGTCATCTTGCAACTGTTGTTTAAAAGGGAATTCAACCTTTCTGTGAGATGTGATTATGGAATGATTTAAGGGCCTATTTCCCTCCTGATGCAGACACTTAACTCTCACCAGCAGAAAGCGAGCCATACACACAGAAGGGTAAACAGATACCTTACTTTACTCCATCAACAGGATTTTTTTCCTAATTAACCCAACAGCTTTTAATAGCCTTTTGGGTTATATTGTTAACGAGAGATTACCACAGCAACAACAACAAAGTGCATGTTTTATACTAATGTAAAAAGCTTTAGTTGGAGATGAATTTTCATATAAAACCTATATTTTAAAAAGTTCTTGGAATGTAAATGAGTCTTTTTCCTGATGTAGAAAATGCAGCTTAAAATGATGCAAAACATGCCTATTTAAAACAGGATGCAGCCCGCTATAAATTCTGAAGACAGGCAAGAATAGTTTGTTGACAGAATAAAGTAAAAGCACTGAGAAACAAGGCATTGCTCTCCTCCACATTCAGCTCGTGGCGTCGGTCAGGAACCCATGTCCTGCACAGCCTTCCAGATGCCCTGCACAAGCCTAGAAGGACCCTTCTTCATGAAGAGCTGGCAGATCTGAGATCAAGGGAGGGAATTAGTGTTAAGACTTACTAGCCACTACTCAAAGTAGGCAAGAAAAGTGTTGTTGCAGATTTACATCCCAATTTTTACCATTTTACTTGTTCCACACAACTCCACTGCCTGAGAAAAAAACTCAGTGCAGCTCATGAGCAAAATCGGCAGAGGGTGTGAGCAGATACATCACAACCCACCCCCAACCTACACATACACACTTGCTGTACTGGAATTCTGCAAAAAAGCTTAGGTACTGGTGGGCTTAGAAAAAAACCTGCAGATTTGAAAGGGCCAAAATCCAAAATGCCTCTTTGTTCTTTAAATTAATACTCTTAGTACCCAGATCCTGAACCTGACTGCATGAGACATAAAAGACTAATATAGCAAAACACTGGTTCCATTTAGGGTTTATCATGAAATTAGTTTAAAAAAATCTCAGAATAGTCTGAAAGTTTTGGCTTTTGTTTGTTTTCTTTAACTAGGATTACAGACATTAGCCAAGTCCAGAATTACTTTGTGTTATTTAAAAAAAAAAAAAAAAAAAAGACTGAGAATGTACCATAATTATTTCATGTTCTGTGAGGTAATGTGGCCATACAGGCTCTAGCCTGCAGTAACCAACCTTCCCAGGAAGTGTAAGTAAAAGGGAATTTTGCTGTGATTTATTCATGGTAGCAAAATAATGAAAGCCTATGAAACAGCAGAGGTACAGACAAATTTATTTTTAAAAAACACTTTTAGCAGCTGCTCCTTCACTGCCCTCTCCATGGCTTGCTGCTACCGTTTTGAAACCCGCAGAGGTGGGGGGTGCAGCGGTGTGCGGTACAGCCAAGAGGCTGCGGGATGACCAAGCTGCTCCCGACAGAGCTGAAGGGGAGGGCAGCACCAAAAGCTTTGTCAGAACTTTGTTTTGGTTTTTTTGTTTGTTTGTTTGTTTTTTTTTTTTTTTTTTTCTTTTTAATTCATTAGGTTGCAATAAGTAACAAAAAAGTATAATGTTCCCTTAGGCTTCTGAAATCTGGTTTGAGATTCACATATGAGCAAGGTTAAATTCCCTTTTAAAAACCTATGCCGGAGGAGAGCGTACCGGATGCTACCTCAAGCGACCGTCGGGTTTGACGGGGCCCAGCTCAGATTTGGGGTCCGGGCTCAGGGAGCTCCAGGCTGTCTGAGCGCAGCCCTGCATGACTGGGCAGGCGGTGGGGCCGGTGCTGCAGATGTCCACGGCCGACCAGATGCCGCCGACCAGAGAGTCCACCCAGGCTTCCAGCCGGGTGCCCACAAGCCCCGCATTCCTCTTGGCCTGGTCCACGCGGGCGGCACTGATGGGGATATTCAGGACAGGGTTCAAGCCCTGGAAGCTCTGCTCCATGTATGCATTCTTTGGAGGCCCGCTGTGATACTTCATGGCTTCCTCTGGAAATGCAGAAATAAACTCGTAAGTTGGTGCATTAAAAAAACACAAAACAAACCTTCAGGATCTCAGGGTAGAGCAAACAAAAGGGCAGAAGTCAGTGGTGTGCTACAGTCCATTTCTCCAGCGTTGAGGACACACCGCATCCCGTGGATGACCGGCTGTGCTCAGCACTTCAGCTCCTCGTGCTCACCACTGCAAGCTCCACTCACCGTGATGCTAAGCCTGCAAGCGCTGCGTTGGCAGGGTGAAGCACTGAGCCTGAAAGCAGTGTCATCCTTATCATCATCACATACAACCGGCATCCCCAGAGCTGCAGAACAGCCAAGACTGACACAGAGCTGTTCCACACAGCACAACAGAAAGGCAGGCCCAGCTGCAAGGGTGTCCCAGATATGAGCTCCTGTCTGTACCTGGAGCCTGATCAACATGCAGCTCCTTCTCAGGAGAAACTAAGCTAATTTTGCCTCTTTCACTGCAGAAATAGTCTGGGAGATAAGCCCCGTGCAGCTGAAGTTACCCCTGTGGACACCCAGGGAAGGCTGTGCCTCAAAATTAGGGAACAGTTCAAGGACACTTGGTGTGTGAAGGCTGGCGACCCTCTTAAGACTTTCAAGTGCTATCACTGCTTTGTCTAGGAGGAAAAGCCAAAATCTCAGCCTTTATTTTTTTTCTAAACTGACGAACTTTGTCCTGCTGTGGAAAAGTCACAACATTTGTTAGCTCAATCTGCCTCCAAAAACCAGGTGGTGCCATTCCTGGCACTAAAAGGACGACACCATGGCTTTGGACAGATCGGACCCATAAAAAAATGTGTAGCCCCAGCATCAGTCCCGTAAGTGCTCCAGTCTCACTGTGAAAGTATTCTCTAATGACAATTACATTTCAAGCTCTTGTGCCGAATAATGTATCACAACCATTTCCTAATGACGCTTTCCTTTGCACTGTGGTTGCTTTCCTTACAGTAACTCTTCTAACCTCAGCAAAATGAAGTATACTGCCCCAAATCTGTAATATTGCAGTAAAAATCACCATCAGATTGTGATAATGCCTTCAAAGGCCTTGAATTGGACACTGTGGGTCAGACTGCCCTTGTCTAAGGCTGACTGGCTTCTTAAGGTCTGCGAGTGCACCAAGCTGCTGCTCATAACATCAGAATGGGGCCCTCCAAAAATGTTCACTGAGTGTCTCTTGGGAGTAAATTTTCAACCATTTCTTTCTGTTCTCAGCTGACTTCCCTAGCATCCTCACTCCGGCAACCCAGAGGATATGTTTAGCTCTGCCAACATACACACTGTCTAGAACACAAAATGGGCCCATTCAGGGCGCTCCAGGCTAGGAAAGCCACCGCACTCAGATAGCATTTAGAGGCCAGGAATTACATATTCACGGCTACAATTCCTTCCACATGTCCTTGCTGCTTGCACTGCAGTCTGACACTGAGTCCTTTCTTCCATGCAGAGGACAGTATCTCAGGCTCTGGCAATAAATCAGTACATTTATTTAGAGGGAAAAGGGACATTTAATTGGAGCTTTGCTGTTACATTTGCAAATTCTTTAATGTCAAATACTGTGCAAGTCCATTACTTCAATTCCCCAGTTAAATTAGTTCGGCACATCTCCATCACCATTATACATCACTTAACTGTTTCTGCATTAATCTAAACCCCTCTTTTTGTTTTAAATAGTAGATATCCACAATACCCTCTAGTCAAAATGAGTTTATTCCATGCACATGTGTCAGAAGCGTGCTCTGCCAGAGCACTGCAGTTTAAGAAACAGAACAAGTACACATGATTAAATTTCTTCCTTTGGAAGCAATTATATATGGAAGACTGTTTGTCAACATATTAATTACATAGGAACATTCTAAGTAAAAATCCCAAAACAAGTAAGAGCCGGCATTACTAGCAGGATCATCTGATAGAAACAGGCAATTCAGGGAGCTTGTTGAATCAAAGCCTGTTGGGCATGTGTTTACGACATGGAACAAGAGAGATCTTTCTTCAGACAAATAACAGGATGAAATGGAACTTGCTCTTCTCTCTGGCTCAGCCTCGGATTTGCCCAGGCAAATTAGGTTGATTAGGACTGGAAGGAATGAAACCTACAGAAACTGTAGGACCCAGTGCCTGGCAATGCAGCAGATGATCATAATTTTCTCTGAATCTGTGAGCCTTGCTGCTTAAGATCAGTAGGCTGCTTTTTCTAAAATAAAGGTGATAACCTCAGCATCTTCAACACTTAAATTACTCCACTCTGCTACTGCTGTAACTGTGTTGGACACCCTGTGCTTCTCACACCAACACCACACTGCAGTTTTGTTGGGCACCACTAAATGATGGCCATGCTCTGTTCCAGAACTGGCTGTGCTGCAAGGGCATGCTGGCAGGTGCAACAGAAATAGTGTTTCATGGAACTGAAGATAAACTTTTTTGAAAAGCCACACACAAACATCAGCAGATAGGAACAGAAAAGACTGTTAAGGACAGTACCAAAGGGAACAAAACACAACATTTTTCAGTGCATTAAGGGCTACTGCTGCCCACAGTGAAAATGTCCCTCTCTGATGTGAGACGTATGACAAAACCCTGACATGGTACTGGTGGGGGTTGTCTGGCCCCACAGCAGAACGAACAACAGCTGGGCAACAGCAATCAGAGTGCAGAGCTGCTTGTACTAATCAATAGGAAATGCTGAGGATTCTAACCAGAACCTTCTCCCGGACCCTCCAAGTCTTTGTTAAAAGTTCACAGGAGAAAGTAAGGAGGATGGTGCTCACCCAAGCTACGGCAGATGTGGGCTATTCCTCTTCACATAAAAGGAAAACAAAAGAGATAATCATGACTCTAACTTACTGGGCTGGGACAGGGAGGAACCCAAGCCCTGAAATACTGTATAAAAGGAGGCTGGAGCTACTGGGCATGCTTTGAAAGTACTGGCACTTTAGTCCTTGCTCATGAAAAAACAACGAAGAACGTAAGGCTTGCCCCTATGAGATGTGTATTTACACATTTAAATCTGTAGTTAGAGCAACCAATTCAAAATTAGCTGAATTGCAGACATTAAGCCAGATTTTTTTGCCAGCAAACATATCCAAATAGCCATTTGACTTCAGGAGGACATGTATCAATGCAAAATATATTCCATTGACTGTAAATTATAGGTTTAAAAAACTGAGTTATTTTTGTCCCCCATTTTTGTTTGCTCTTCACTCTGGGAGGGCACTTCATTTCTCAACTGACTTTTCCTGGTATAACTTCTTTGGACTGAATACACAGCCTGTAGTCAGCCTCATAAACTGGGATTTCAGCATTTTTGTGTGGGTTTGTTCTTCATTTTGTAGGAAAAGCAAATGAGTTTAGACAGGGAGTGGGCTAAGGAATGAAAAATGTGGTTACCTTGGTACACATTAAGGCGCTAGACCGGTGTTTCTTTAAAACAACACAGAATGTACAGCTTTATTTCTTTACTTGAATTGTGTTGAAACCCTCTGGCAAAGAGGTAATTTTTTATTGACATTTTGTTTGTTTTCTCTTGCAGCAAACAAGACAGTGCTGCATTTGCTCATTGTGAAGCTAATCGACTCCTTGTCAACTGGATCTGAACTAAATTTTGAAGCAAATCCCTGTCTTCAGGGTTTTTCTCGGAATGACGATTCCAGGGCATGTCTACTCTTCTGCAGTCATGCACTTGCCTGCTGCTATTACTGCGTTTATCACAAACGTGTCATGTTACCTCTGGTTAATTTAAAGAAATCACAGCAGTTCTGACACAAGTTGCCACCCACTTTATAATCTTTATAGATGCAATTAGAATTGATTGAGCCACTGCAAACAACCAACGGCAAAACAAAGGTTTCCCAGTATATACTTAATTAAGATGATCTATAAATATGGATTAGGTTAAAAGGCCTTTGAGATGCAGGCATGCATCACAGTATGTCTGCTAACGCTGTCAAGCCTTTGAAAGAGGTGGCTGCAGCTAGAGGGCACAGGCACCAGGGTCTGGCGTTTAAGGTTCCCTGTCCTGTTGCAGGGCAGCAGAGACCAGAAGCCCCGTGTCTGAGGCGCGCGATCAAGCTAGGAGCCAAACATGAAAGGTCTCTCCTTAAGGCAAAGGAGGAGGATGCTCTTCTCCACTGCCCTCCTTTCTTGAAGGAAGAAGGGATTGATTTATGTATGTATGTATTTATTTATTTATTTTCACTCCAGTGTTTAATATCAGCTTGAGGTTTGGGGCTTTTTCTGTCCCAGAAGTGAATCTGCCCACTGGCTCACAGTAACCTACTTAGCTTTAATGAAACAGGTTACTGTACCTTAAATGCATGACAACTCATTATTGTCACTCCAGCTGGGAGATCGCTGTGGGAACTTTGCCATGAATATAAACTCAAATTTAAAAAATGAAATTGCTTTGGCATTTTCTCTGCCCTTCTCAGTGTCCCTGGGAGATGTGTGTGATCACAGTTGGCATGACTGCTTCATGTGGACTTCGCAGAGCACAGAAGGGTGGGAAAGCGGGATGATGGGGATGGAGAGCCAACCTCTACTGAATTAGCTGTTTTCTTGGGAACTGAAATCTACTTGGTAGCTTGGATTATAGCCTGTGAACTGCTGGCTAAATGCTCTGAATTATACCTGTTATTTGGCTCTGCCTCTCCAGTCCCTATGCAGGGGACCTCGACATCTGGCATCGAGTCTTTGAACTGTGCTTAAATTCAGGTTGCCTAAAGCAGACAGCAAGAAACCCTCATTCCTCTTTATTATCTCTGCTAGTGATCTTCTACTGATCTTCTCCCTGTTTTGTCTCCTCCATGTTAGATTCCTTCTCTGTCTTGGCACAATTTAGTCCTAGGGCATCCTGCTAGTCCTTGGCAGCCCTCCCATGTCCATACAATAAGCACAGAGTACTTGGCTTTAACACACTCGGCCATATGGTGAGAAACTCAAAATCGCCATTTAGGAGAGTAAAACAGAATCTGGCTGCACAGGATGTAGCAGGAAGCAGACACTGGTGGAGCAAGTGAACCTGATTTCTCCAAATGATTTATCTCACAAATTCACTTAGTTTTCCTTTTCTTTTCTTTTTTTCCTTTCTCCAACCAGGCAAACACGTGAAAGTACTCTCAAGCCAAAGGATCCGCTGAAGGCAGAGCTGATCAGTGACACAATTCAAACTAGAGAAAATAGACACAGATTTGGATGCCTGGAGGGAGAAGAGGAGCAAGAAAGGATAAAAAACATTAAATTCTAGACTTTCCACTGAAATACCTTTGGGAGCCTTGTTTACAGCGGCAATACCCCAAATCTCCCAGCATACTCCATAATTCCATGTAAGATCTGATCTCTTATAATAGAGGTTTTGAAAAGGTCAACGAATCTGCGTTCTTAACACAATTTATATTGTGTCAGTTACACACATCTGCACACAACAGCAAAGAAAACACCTGCTCTTGATTTCCCTTTATGGTTTTACTTGCATGCATAGACTTTAGGCCAAAATTAATAAATAAATGGGAATAGAAAAATGAATAAACTAGCTGCATATGCTGTTTTTTTAAACTGCTAAACAAAACAACTTTGCTGGTGGCTGTCCCATGATGATTTTTTAAATTTTGAATTATAATAATGAATTTTGAGAGTCAGAATACAGGAATGAACATGTTTTGCTTCGGTTATTCAACAGAGGAGCAAGTGGCTCCCTTCATGATGCTGGGAAACCAAAAGCAACTTTTCCTTGTTGTGCTCTGTGCTGAAGTGATGTGTAGATAAGTAATGACTTACAAAATACAGTGATTGTTGTCATGTCCGTGGTCTTGAGATACTAGACTTTAGTGGCTGCTGTGCTGCTGCCAGATTTGTGCAAATGCTTTTTAGAATGACATAAACAAATTACACACAACAGCATGGACAGACTTTTATGTATGTAACTACGTGGAATCCAGTTTCTACATCTGGAATGTATGAAATGGGGGGGGGCAAATCATTATCAAGAAAATGACACCTGAAGTGGTATGAAATGTATCAGTCAATCAAAAACCTTCTGGATGGAATAGCAATTTATTTTCCAGTGTAATCTTTCTGACAAGAGCTATAGGTTTATTTTTTTTTTCCTCCTCTTTTTTCTGAGGGAGGAGGGATGAGGGGGAGGGTGGGGGTGAGTGAGGATGGTTGTGAGAACAAAATTTTAAAGAAATTCCTAATAAAACATACCCCCCTTCTTCTGCTGACAACTCCTGCCTAAATCTGATGTATGTTTTATTTTCAGTGTTAAGACAAGACAATGATACCATTCCTTCACTTTATAAGATTTTTGGCAGCTTTCGCATTGTTTACAACAGTAACAGAAAGTGTTCTTTTAGCAGTTCCAATTCTTCTGTCATACTCTCACAATGCCTTTATTTGGCAGAGAAAAATATATTTAAATAATAAAGTGGTGACAAGCTGACAAAAGCTAGAAATCAAAGCTAAATGACAACTGCCTGCACAGAGCACAACAGTGTCACTGAGACAGAAAGCCTTAAAAAACCCAAACAACAGGAATTTGCACTGTAAATACAATTCTAACTACAGTGGATTGTCACTATCTGCCCCTGTAATTAATTTTCTTCTTTACCTTCATGCCTCAGACATCTGGAGAATATACATCACATCATCAGTAGCAAATCACTCCTGAGGCTTTCTTCCTAGATAATATTGTTCTCAAGATTTGTATTTAATTCCTATAGGAGATTCTAGTTACCATATGAATGAATGGGGCTTTTTAACAAAATATATGAGCCAGATCTTCTCCCAGTGTATCAATGGGCAATATGGAGTAACACCATAATTTCAGTGGAATTATTCCAGATTCAGAGTTTGGACCAAAGGGAGTTTTGTCTTTACACCTTAAAGTGTGGGCTCATGGTTGAAGTCTGAGACACACTTAACTGCCCACTGGGCACTCATGTTATAAGGAAAAGCAGCAAGGTTGCTGGCTATGTGCCACATTTTCCATCCAATTTATGCCTTAACTGTTAAATTAGCAAAGAACATAGAATTCATTAATTTCCAGGAGACGAGTCAATAACAGCTGCATTCAGAAGTCAGTTGCGTCAAACTTTAAAAATATATTCCTTCTACACATTTCACAATTGATCACTGCCTATTGGTTAATAACAGCAGCAGGTTGTTGGTGGTTTAGTTTCTCCTTAAGAAACGATGCCACCAAATGTTAGAAGAAGAAATCAGTAAGTTAGCTCTTCTGCTGAGAAATGTGTAGAATCAAGCTCCTGTTGAGCAAGATAAGGGCTGCATTAGCTCTCAGCAGTTGTCTGGTGGTGTTTGCATTACAGAAGCAGCATGTTATGCTGGAAGGTAGATGCCTGACTCAGTTTATTTGCTGCCTTGTCAGGAAGAAGAACTGAAAACTTAATAGGATCATTCATGTATCTAGCAAATTTAAGATGGCTAAAGTTATGAATATTAATACTGGGCAGATGGAAGCACTTAAGCACGTTAAGAAGAATGGTAAAGATATTAATAGCAACAAACTTGTTTTGATCTTACTGCATAAGAAAACAGGTGTGGCTACCGCACGCTCTCTCCTCTCCCAGCCCAGTGTCCTCGGCTCTGGCTGAAGACCCGAGTGCTCGAACAATGCCTGTGCCAGTGCAAACTGCTGCTGGGAGCCTGAAGACACTGGCAGCCCAAGAATGACCTCTGTATTTGGATGGCTGCTGTGGCAGGGAAGAAAATGGTTTCTTTCTAAAAAATGTCAGCGTGGGTCTGATAGTGTAATTACCAGGATTGCTGTGTCCATAGATATTTCTGTAGTACAGCTGCTTGGCAAGTACTGAGCAGGTTTTGGCAGGTATCAGGCAAGAGTGAATGCCTGAACCTGACAGTATGTCAGGTGAGCTCTGGCCTAGGGTAATTTTGTCTAATTCAGCATTTTGTATATTAATGCTTTTATCGTTACACAGAGAGACTTTGTCAAGGTAACAGTTTAAACACTTGTCACTCTTTATGAGCAAATATGAACGAGAAGCAGCAGAGAAAGGTCCACTTTTCCTTCTATTTCTAAATGATGGATTTTACGGTAGCTGATAGATTATTGAGAGTCTGAAGTTCTCTGGATTCTGAACTGTGCATATTTTAAAGATATAAATAGCCTTTTGTTCAAAGTGGCTGTGTTTTACAGACTGGATACAGACAATTCTGCTTGTCTTAGTGCAACAATTTCTTCTGATTTAGTATCTATAAAATTCCTTTCTTTTCTCCTTTTCCAATACAGCGTTATTTCATTTTTAACAGCAGCATTTACAGTGAAAACAGACATAGTAACTGTATTATTTCTGTACCAAATAATAAAACTTACCTTGTTTGATAGGCTGCCGATTAGAGAAGGTGAGAGGAGTAACAAGGAATTTGGTTTCAGCTACCTGTACCCAGTGGTGCAGAATTTTTATCGTCCAAACACCGGGTCGTAAGGGCAAATTCAAAGGTGGTTTGTAGTGAGTAAATTCGGCACTGGATTCAATAAGAATATCATATGTTGCTGCAATTACATTAACAGGATCCACCCAAATGACAGTCACAGTGACGTTGGGGCCTTTTCCCCATTTCTGCATGCCAACTGGCTCATCTGTTGGCCCAAGGAGTCCTCCGAAATTCCGGAAAAGCCTTTCCTTGGCATCCCATTCAGTGCCAATCTGAAATTGAAGAACACATTGCTGCTAACATCATCTCTGTAAGCATCTAAGACCCTTATGTGAAATAAGGGCTCTCAAGACACACAAATCGTATTTCTCTAATGAGGTGAATTATGTACATATATCTATACAGGCTGATGGCAACATGACCAAAGATCATAATGTGTACTCGAATTGTGAGACAACCTTGAATGCAAGGCTTTTGATTGCTATAAAGGTTTTCTTTATCTTAAGAGTGACAAAACAGGCTATAGCAGTTCTCCTTTTCCTCCACATGAAAGCAGTCAATAAAGGACTAAGCCTAATGACTGAACGCAGGCTAGGCATAGAAAAAAAATACAACCCATCATCTCCTGGGTCATGAAAATGTATTATACATTTGAGAGACAAACCCTGTGGTAGAGACCTATCCAGTTAAGGCTAAGACCAAGAAAGAGGCTTTTGCTGACTTTAGGACAAGTCACATGATGTCCTTTACTACAATCTATTCATGAGATGCTGTCTCCTTGTACTCCCTGCCTGCCTGCCTGGTGTGGAAAGTTTTTTCTGGTAAACTCTTTTTTGACTGTCATAATAGTGACATTGTTTTTTTATTTATTCAGTAACTAACAGTAAAGCAGCTGATTCACAATATAGTGTAAATATTTAATGGACCTTTCTTTTTCCTAGCAGCTGTCATATTTCAGTACTCTTTATATGAATTTTAACCCACAGGATGATACAAACTTACAAGCTGTTAACATTAATACTTGTACATTACTGAAAATATGCATCTCCAAACAGATAGCAGGGAAATGTAGTAACTAGCCTTCTTAGGCCAACTGAAAGACTTTTTACTATCCCAGCACTAAATCTAGCGTGTGTTTATGAGGCTAACCTTTAGGGAACCACTTCCATCAATTGTCAAGAAGGCAACCTGGTGGTCCACAGTACTGAAGGCTGAGTATTTGCTTTTGGAGGAAGTGACCACCTCGCTTATCCCATGAGGTCCTGTTCCCATGATTCCAAATCAAGTGATCAATATCAAACACAAAATTATTTGAGGGACCCCATTTGAAGTGAAGAAGAGGAGAACCCCTTGGCTCCTTTTGGCAAGCAGACATCTGACATCACTCCTTGGAGAGGATGTTTTGGCCAGCCTGGTATTGAAACCCCTCATAGTCCTTCAGGTCTTCCTTGGCCTTAATGTCCAAACAAACAGTGTAGATGACCTAAGAGTTGATTTGTTCCCTATACAGAAACCATGGGATTCTCTCAAGTGGTCTCCTGAAGCCCATGCACACAGAGACAGGATCCCCTCTTTCAGCATATGTGGATATTGAAGATTTCCTCAACACAGAACTGTTCTTGTCCCTAATCTTCACCTCACATGGGCACGGTCAGAACCTGCTTTCCTGAAAGCATAACAAATAATTGTAGCTTATTTGATTCAGAGAGTTTTCTTCTAGATTTCATCTAATTTCATGACAAGAAGTGGTTCCAACATAATGCCCAAATCCCCCCAAATCCGTAAAACATAACAATTACTTGATGCCTACTACCACTGATACCTATACTGGAAACTGCCCAGTCCCAAATCCCTTCTAAATAAATCACTGTGGTTGGCAGACAAATTACAGGAGGACTGTAAGCAAAAAGCTACAAGGCCAGTAGAATAAAAACCTACCATCCTAAATCCATCATCATATGAATTCCTCCTACCGGACTATGACAGTGCAGAATATGAGACAAAATGAACCTTCCACTACTCTGCAATCAACACAGCAGAATCGCTGGTATTTGAGAGTTATTTCACCTAGCACACCAGCTAATCAAACCAGACAGCATAAGCCCAGATATCAGACCCAAGCATCTACTGCCTCAAGGAGCTGTCAGTGTGTACTCTCCTGACAAGACCGACTGAATATGTATGGAAATGAGCTAGGAAAGAAAATTTCCTGACCAGATCTTATTATCTATTTGGCCAACCTTCATTGAATGCGGCCCTGTCACACCTACCAGAGCTCAAGGGACCTGGAAATCATAAAGCCACAACATGTGAAACAAATCTACACCCTCCTGGTCAAAGAAAAGCCTATAAGGAAGATCTTTGCACCACATTTGGTATTTCTTACTGGAGAACTCCTTGAAGAAAGCTTACTTCATTCTCAAAAACACTCATCCCTGACATTCAACTATTGCCCTCTCTTTAGTCTCTCATCCCTGGGAAAAGAAATCAGAAAGTTATAATCCCCATGCTCCAACCTGCAGGTGACACTGCTCAACACCAGGTTGCACAAAAGATGTTGAGACATGTTCACACGTGCAAAGGTTTATTAGAGTGGTCTGTAGAAGAGTGAAGGTTGCTTTCGTGGAAAAATTGTAACAACATTGTTGGATGGCTGTTAAGCTTTGTTCAGGCATGTTATTGGGTTCCCTAATGTAAACCAAAAATTATAGTCAAAGGGCAGGAGAAGATGGGGAGGAAAGGATAATTCTCATGCTGGTGGCAATAACTTGCCATGAGAGCCTGTCATAACACCACTGACAGGGTGTGCAGGTCCACGAAGACAACATCACAAAACCAACAAGAAAACACTGACACAGAGCAGGCCCTCAGCAACACAAAGACAAGGCATCTGTGCACCCTGCAACACCCTGCATGCCCCAGAGCAGGAGCTCGGACCAAGACCAAGACCAAGACACTGCTTGGGGCTGGGCAACACAGGCACCTTAAGGAAGGGAAGAGCAGGGAGCTGCATATATCTATTTACAGGATCTGTCCTTTATGTCCAGTTTCCAGCTGGGGGACATACTTTCCCATGCTGCACAGCTTACAGTACAAGCTGGAAGCACAGTATTTTAAAAATAATTTTACTTAAGGCACTAGTTACAGGTTTATACGTCTTCCCTTGAACTCTACACAGTTGAGCTCCCAGTACTGAGATGTCTGATTTTACAGGCCAAGAGATACTACAGTCCTATAATATTTTTCATAGCCCCTTAAAACATTGTAAGTAGGCTTTCACTTTTAAATGGAATACACAAACTATGGGATGGAATCAAGCAGTAATGAATACCTGATAAATTATGAAGGGATGTGGCACAGAAACTGACATTTTCCACATCATTACTTTAATCACCATGATTTTGGGCTTCAAGAGCAGGCACTGTGCACCGGGTACATTTGGAGAGCTGGAAGTCTCTCACTGGCTTAAAACTCCTGTTTCTATCTCTGTTCAGTCCCAAGATAAAATTTTCCCAAGATAAATTATGCCTTGATTATGGGTTTGTGTCTCATTGCTCACCACAAACAGGACCATTAGGTTCACACAATGCACACTAATTGCCTGCCACCTAGTTTATTTTATTCTCTGTGATGAATCACAAGTCTTAACAAGACCAGAAATGAACTTAGTGTTCAACTGATATATGGTGAGCTGAGATTTTTAGTACTGTACAGCAAATCAATCTTCTGCCCTCCGTGTAAAAGTTGTCATGAACCCAGGCTGGTAGGATACATACTGTGTGCATTGTGCACAAGCCAATTTTAGGAGGTGTGGGAGTTTCAAGCTTGGAAATCACCTCTTGGATTTCCTGCAAGTTTATTTTATTTTACTCAGCCCAAGACTGAGTGCAGGAGCCGTGTGCCATTGAAACACTATCATTAACCCCAGGCTGCTAGGCAGCCCAGCCGGATGATTTTTTTCCATTTGTCTATACATGGTGAATGGTGAAATCTGCTACTCATGAAGCAGTCTGAGAAGCAAAGCAAAGGAGCAGAGGGCAGGAAGGGCTGACTGAAGAGATCCTATCATCTCCGCTGCAATTTCAGTTGTGAATCAGGGTCACAAATACACCTGCAAGCACACTGAATGCAGCATATTCGTATTCTTGCTGGCCCTATTGGTATGAGCTGGGAGAGGGAAAAAAGATCCCAGCTAAAAAGGTCCCATGCAATTTTAAATTTCTCCCAGACCATGGGGTTAAAGTTGTTGAAGAATCAGTAGTTATATGTCCCTATAAACACAGATCTTATTTTTTTTTTTGGTGCTTAACCTGTGCACATTGATGACCTCACCTTAGCTGAACTGCTAGGTTTGTTTTACTGGACTTTATACTGGCATTTTAATAAGCACTAGCAGATGAGAGGCTTTTCAGCCACACTGAAGCTGAAGACGCTAATGCTGGATTTATACCAGGATAACGGAGAATAATTTGGCTCAGAGGCAGAGGTGTCTGCAGGCTGTGGGAAGGCAGAAAGTAAAATAAACAATTAAGAAATGATTATTTACTTTGTATCTCCTGGTCTTTTGAAATATGAATCATCTATGAAAGGAGAGGACAGTTAAAGAGTTTAGGTGCGAAAAACTAATGAAAAGAAGTAAGCAGCCACCAAAACTCTTTTTGTGCATTTCAAATAGAAGAAAATGTTTCCTTAGCCTGAAAAAAGCTCACCAGTGATTAAATCCTTCCCGTGCTTTGCACTCATATGGCTTCACTGCAGCAGCAGCTCCTACAGGGCTGCTTGCAGACCAGCCGTGGTCTATGAGGCTGTGAAGAGCAGCTCATTAATCCTGCGGGATCTCGGGATCCTCCTTGCAGGGGGACACACTCCACAGAGCTGTGGGCACAAAGCAGCGAAGAGGCCACCAACGTGCCACCACTTCCCCTGACAGGGGAGGCTGACACGGCACTGCTGCTGCAGGATAACCATCAATCAGGCTCATGCTTGCTGCAGGGCTAGTTTTGGGGAAAAAGAAAGGTGCGGTGGGACCAGGGGGGACCTGGCAAATGGCCAGCAAGTAAATTCTGGTCCCAGATTTTCTTCCTCCCTACAGCTGCAATGAAGTCGGATGCATTCCTAAATATTTTTGAGTTCTAGAATACTGAGATCAGTATTATTTCTTTTCCTCAAAGAATTAGAAAAAACCCTGCTGCCAGCCCGGTTGTTTTCAAAAGAGGGACCAAGCGCAGGCATCAGAATGAAAGTGAGATTAAAAGTACCAAATAAACAGCAGAAATCCTCCTACAAATCACAAGAATTAGAGCTTGTATGACCATTTATCACTGCATGAAATGGCAAGCCTACCAACAGACACAGTGATAAATGAAACACGCTTTCCATCCATCTATTTAATGGCACATTAGTGTCATAGATTTGCCATGCACACCAAAACACTGAATCCTACCTAGGCATTTCTTAATTGCCCAAGAAGATGGTAATTTATGGACTTAACCATAATGACTGGGACACATTTGTTCAATCAATTTTATACCTTAATTGAAATTTGTGGCTTAACAAGAAAAATCATGAAATTAACTGCTCAGACAGTTATATCTTTAAAACAGAACACAGATGTCAGGTTCTATTAGTGGTCAACTTTCCAGATATATATTTTAGGGCACCTTTTTTTATACTCCATGTCAGATTCTGAGACAAATTCCTAGAAGAAGTAACAGGATTTGTGGGAAATCTCAGGCACTGACGTGATAATTTTCTTTCATGTTACAACATCAATATTCTGCTCACATGTGGCATTGGTGCCTGACTATCAGTAATTTTATGAGGGTTTTTTCAGCATACTCTTGAGAAAAATGCTTATCACATCCCTGTTCACGTCTCTCTCAGCACCCACAGCAATCACAGTCACAAAACTTTTAAATTACTGAGCCCCTTTTACAATAGCAAATGCCTTCAGATTGCTCTTAAAACAAGAGGAAGTGAGGGTTGACCACAGATCTAACTGTCAACAGTACCTCCTTCAATGAAGAGGATGTACATTATGCTAAAGAATCATTCTCACCTACAAATTACATGGAAATACAGTTTCCAAAGGCAGTTGAAATAGTATGCAACCTTTCCAGGGGCTCATGACACTGTGCATGGGTGGCTACAAATACTTACCTCTGAGAACTGCAACCTTCCAAAATCGCTTGGTGGACTTGCAATCTTAAAGACTTTCTTGGGCATCACCCATGTTTCCAAAGTTTCTAGTTTACTGACAGCCAGATTGGTTGCATGGTGTCTGATTAGGAAGCCTTGGAAGCGGTCAGCAAGGAAGTAAAGGTGGACGGAAACTGGATGGCCCATGGGGTAATATCTGTAAAACAGCACATGCACATGCTCATCAGTTACACAAGAGAGACGTGAAATCTCCATTTACTTGGAGTTAATGGCTTAAGAAGCATTCATTTCAACTAGAAAATTCACCACTGTACATTAAGAGATTTCAAATGTGTTCATCACTCATTATCAAATATCCTCAGGCTGTTCCAATTACCCTGAAACATAAAAAAGTGTTACTAAGAATATATGCTCATTGAGAACATATTCACAGCTCTAAGATCTTTAGGAGATACCTCTGCATGCCAGGGTGTACCCCTCCCTTCCTACCTCTTCTGGGTAAAATGTGTCCCCCTAGAGATACACTGGGTACATTGTTAGGCTGCAGCACCGTTTGACAGGATAAATAATGTTCAAAAAATGTGTCTATTGCTCCAAATTAGGTGGCCTGCTTTCTTTTGCCTTCAGCAGGGCCAGTCCGTGCAGATGCCGGGCAGTGGCAGAGCCTCCTCGCTGGCCGTGGGACAGCAGCAGGCTGGGGTCAGCAGAGGGTGCTGCCAGACTGGGCACGGGTGAGCTGATACCCCACTCCACTCCCCACATATAAATCAGATCCCCAATCAATTCTCCAGGGGCAGTGTAGGGTGGCACTGCAGGAAAGGACACCAGGATCCAGTCCTCATTTTAGGACTCCTTTATTTTAGGAAATAAGCTTCATGTTCTTTAAGGACTTGAGGTTGCTTTTGCCGTGGATTTTTTACTCATTATTAAAAATAAATTGAAAAAAGGTCAAACAAACAGGAAAAACATCTCATTGAGAGATTTGGAAGACTTCAGTTACAGTTCAGACTTAAAGACATTGTAGTCATGGTTTCAAATAATTGAAACTTATGGTCAAGTGTCTGCTGTAGTCTCAGAAACATCTGTAATGATGTTTGTGTTCATGTGGATGCATAAATAATTAAAACCATGTTATTCATAGCTCTGAAATAAAGTATTTTGCTACTTTACAGCACTGACATTAATTGTGAAATAAGTGTGTTTGCAACACATTTAAAACCAACCAGTATCACCTTCCTAGTCAAGTCAACTAAGTCTGATTCCTCATGTTAGTTATTACATCTTAAGACATAAGCACTAAGAGGAGTTAACCAAGAAGGACTTTCCATTACATGAAACAAGCAACACCCAGAAGGAAGTCTCTAGAGCTTGAGAAATAAACATAACAAGATGGGGTACAAACAGGGCCAGCACTGATGGACCGGGCAAAACCACAGCAAACCTGTGCAGCCAATACCAGCAACAATCTGACTTCTGTTCTGAGTACTAAGGCCGCCTGTTTTATATGTGCGCAGCAGCAAATATTTACAATATCCTTGAAGTAGTCTGAGTAAGTTGTCTCTTGGCAGCAGTGAGTAAAAATGCCTAGAGACTGGGAGAAATAAATTAGATCTCAATCACACATTGATGTTGCTTCCACTGAAGATGCTGATACGCAATCTAATTTGGTACCAGAGCAGTCTGCAGGGGGCACAGCCTTCTGAGGCTGTGAGCTAGCCCTTGTTAGAAAGTGTGCAAGGCAGCTTCGCTTCTAAAAGTCTCCTGGGCCGCTGTGGGTGACAGCACGGCATTGACTCCAAACATGATCCCAAGTGGTAGCGGCTTTTCTTGCAGTGCCTGCAGCAGTGTGAAATGAGCTGGGGTGGTGACTGCAATATCAGCTGTTAGCCCTAACAGCAAAGGGAATACTGTCGAGGTTCTCTGCCCAAATATATCCTTGCCATTACCACGTTAGAGACATGCAAAATCACAAGGGAAATAGGAAATGTATATATGCCTGTACCTAGAAAGACAACATAGTACCAAGAGAGAAGGGATAGGAATCAGAAACCTGAGGATTATCCACCTTTCTGTGACTTAAATTGGACCCTGACTCACAGTATTTTGAGCGGGCTCATGCAGGTATGGAAATGAAGCCCCCACTCCATATCACTGTTTGCAATTCCTCCCTGCGCTGTTTCAGGAGGCTCCAGCCTACTGTAAAGGAGCCATGTTTTATCCTGGTGACAGCTGCAATCAGCAGTGGATGACATCGTTTCCCCATCTATAATCTGAGCAAGTTTCAAAAGCACCTTGAGTTCCTGTACAATGAAAAGCTCCCCAGAAATAAAAATGATTATTGATATAAATCATCATCAGAACACTGGCAAAAGGAATAAGCACAAAAGTAATTGTCAAATTATTTCAGTACTGGTTATACATAGCTCCCATCCTCTCTGCTGGCTTCACTCTGCAGGACAAATGACCCAGGACTTCTTTAGGTCTGCCTTTATTTCATATAAGGAAGGCATGCTACTAGTGATTATTTCTATCTAATTGTTATTGATCTTTTATTGCTTTGCACCAGTAACCTTCACTGGCAAAGCTGTAATAGGAATCTGGATCACTTATGGCCATATATTTCTAAATGGGACATTGCTCAGCACTTCCATGACTAAGTAGGAAGGTCAAGGTGCATTCGGTTCCCTCTTGAGAACACAAGAGGGGCAAACTCCCTCAGTCAAAGCACAAGAAGCGTCTTCAGTATTTTCTGACTTAGGCTGTATGTTTTCTATTAGGATAAAAAAAAGCAGGGTCCAAAAAATACATTCTGAAGAAGGAATTAAGGGACTGTAAAGCAAGACTTTAAAAGATGAACTCTCTTTGCTTTGAACGTAAACAGTTTCAGATGTGTTTGCAGGCAGCAAACATCTACCATGAAGGGAGCGTTTTCTGTGCAAGTCTAATTCCAGGAATTCTTCCTTCAAATCCCTTTTAGACTGAATTCTTCTGTGCTAGGCTTATATATGAAAAAGGAATCTAGAATGTATGAGGGGGTTCCCTTTAAAGAATAAGAACCTTTATTGGAGATATATATATGTATTTATACATACATACATTTTGTTTACTTGATGCTAATGGATCCTACCAGTTGCAATACTTTTGGTACAGACCACTGTACCAAGCAGGCAAACTGAGCTCAAGCAAGTAGTTCTCTGTACTCCACGTATGCACCCAGGAGAACAAACAAGCAAGGACCGTTAACCTGCCTGTATTCAGATTAATTCTGAAATCCTGTCCTCTGCTTTTGGTAAGCATAATAGAGGTGAACATGACCTCTGCTGCAATCACACGGAGCCTTTAGGATCTGCAGGTATAATACAGTTGCTGAAATTAATCAAGAAAACGCAGCAGCGGAGGTAGCACTGCCCAACTGGATCCTGTCAGTCTTCATCAGGCTGGAGAGGAGCTCCTTAGAAGTGCAGCAAACAGGTCACATAATGTCAACCCTGAATAACTAATGCTTCATTACGGGCATAAATACTCCTGGAAATAAGCGCTGTACACTTGCAGCTGCCTGGTGCTGTTTGTGATGGTATGCTCCAGCCAAGCAGATGAACCTCTGCCGGCACCCGGCAGTCTGGTCCATGTCCCCTGAAACACCCAGAAAAAGAAAGGCTCAGACTAACCGGCAGCTGTTGTCTCCAGCAGCATGGAATGAAGTCTCGGCTCTCCGCAGGCCCAAGCGGGAGAACGCATGGTACATGGTGAGGGCGACGTCGCTGAGGGTTTGCACACCATCAGGCTCATCGTACACATTCTCCCAGTATGACCGGAGGCCGGGTGTGCCAGACGGGTAGTTGCCATACAAATAGTAGTCTAACTGGCCAATTATCTCCTGATTCACTACAGCTTCAAATTTTCGGGCAAAGAAAGTTGGCCTGGCAGTCTGCTGTGGTGATACAAAAGGAAAAGACACTGGAGTGAGTTCTCATTTTGAGCCATGACACTTTGCCCTAAGCAATGGGTTGGAGTTGAGGACATGAACTGGTTCTCCCCATGGGGAAAGGTGACTTTAAAAGGTCAACGTTGTGATCATTTGTCATTAAGAATGTTAAGATTCAGATAAAAACTACATAATTACTCAATGAAAATGTAGGTGTGCCAAACTCTTTGTACCAGCAGCCACCCCGCACTGCCTTGCTCTGGGAGGCTCCCCAGGGCACCACATTAGCCTGGAGACGGCACAGCACTGCAGTTGGTGGTGGTCAGGCAGGGAGCAAAGCGTCCTGTGGCACAGGGGCTCAGAAGAGGCAGAACAGCATTTTGTGTGTATGGATTTTCTGCTATGAGGTGGTAAGAGAACTCTGGGAGAGGTGCCATCTGTGGCGGAGGTTTCTCAACTTCTGAGCAGTCCCATACAAATTTTTTTTTCCTCTGCACTTGAAACAATCTTGGGTATATTACTGGTTTATAAGCTACTCAATTACCATTAGCTTTTAAAAAGCCTTTGTTTTGCCTTGCCTATATTGAAGCATGGGTTCTGAGGTGCAGAGGAGTTCAAAAGTGCCCCAGATAGTTGAAAAATTCTTTTGAGGATGTTCAGTTTTACTCTGAGATGGCGCATGCTGTGGGCTCTCTGATCTGCTCCTCTGCAGCTTGCTTTGTGCCTCTGTGGGAACCACGAGCAAGCCTTCTAGTGCCCTGTGTTCATCTGAGGGGCTCTCTCAACAGGCAAGTGTCAGAAGTTGCCTTTACATCTCTTCTAATTTTGAATTTTCCCTTGCAGCTTAGTTTACCTGATTGTTTTCTGAAATATCATTGTGGGTTGTTTTCCCAGCCTGGAGCAGGTCAGCCTCTGCAGACTGGCAGGAGTTTTTTAAGACTTGCCATTTATTCGGTGCTGGAAGCTGTCCTGGGATTAGTGTTTGGGGGAGCAGAGCCTCTCTTAGATAATGTCTCATTTGCTCTTTTTGTGTGTGCCTGTGTCGCTGACTTCAACTGTGCCTGGTAGGCAGCACATTACAATGAAGAAAAGATCTCTGTTTCGGAGCAGTCATCATTTTTGTGCTGTAGGGTAACACATTCCCCATCCCACACAAAGCCTGAACAAACATGCTTTATGCAGGGAACCTCGAGAAGCTGCAGGGATGAAACAGCAAATCTGGTGACCTTGAAACAAGCGGTTGTTCATTCTTAATAGAAGGCACACAGGCTAGATACAGTCTTGAAAACGAGTGTACCCTTGAGCACAAGGATTTGCTCTCATGTCTGTTTTGAGGAAAGTGTATTACAAAGGAACTCATTAAACTTTTTAAGGCAGTCTTGCCAAGCCTGGGTGATCGAAACCTCATGACTCTGGCCCCCAAAACCACGAGATAAACTTAAATATAATCATGTTGAATATAATCACAAAAACTGATTGGCGTTGTGCTATGTAAGCCTCTAGTAGGCACTCTAGTCAACTTTTAAGCTTTTTTCAAAGATGAAAAACATTGTTAAACAATGAAAGCCAGAAGCTTCATGAAATCATGAAAGCACCTGAGCTGGAATTTTGGAAAAAAACCCTTTGCAATTAATTCACAAGAGTTACCAAGTAATACTGGCATGGTAAGAGATGTGTCAAGCTTCCCTTCTTTCTAGCACAGCAGATCTACCAATGCCAAGTAGTCCAAAGAACTGCTTTGTGACCTTATCACGCAGTAGTAAGTCTCAAGGGCCAAAACACGGGGGAACCAATCTTTTACTCTCCTGAAATTAAGAGCAGAGTTTCCTCACACCTCTTTCTCCACCTTGCTTGATGGGGTAAAAGCTTCCTTTCCCAATCCCTGCTGCAGCCATGCAGCTAGACAGATCTTTACATTCCATCAGAGGGGAACGAGATGCTCTGTGGGTATCAGAGGAGGTACAGTTTCAGTTACCTGGAATCGGTGGAAGTCTGCTGGTTTGAAGTCATTAGGCGAACAGCCACACCAGTCAACAATGTGCTTGTACTGACACTTGCAACCGAGTTTACGATTCCAGTTTGTGATGCGCAAGTTGTTGTCCACCATGGAGTCACAGTATGGGCTATTTTCCAGAACAGTGTGAAAGAAGGACTGCAAGAAAGACAGAGCGTATCAGTACATTCAGCTCCTCAGATCTTCATTTTCTCCTTCACTTCAGCCCATGGGCTTGAACCTAATGTGGGTGACTTATTTTCTTTTGAAATGACAGAATTAACAAGCTCTATTGTTCTACCATATATGAAAAGCACTCTACATGTATGCATTCCATAGAGCATGAAAAAATCACAACTTGCTATAGACCCAGCCAAACTGTAATAACATACAGGTGATGCCTTGCTACAATAACCTGGTGCAGAATTATTGCACTTCTGCAATGACCAGCTGTCGTGGTTTAACCCCAGCTGGCAACTAAGCACCACTCAGCTGCTTGCTCACTTCTCCTCCCTCCCAGTGGGATGGGGAAGAGAATCAAAAAAAAAAACCAAACCAAAACAAAACAAAAACCTAATGAGTTGAGATAAGAATGGTTTAATAACTAAATGAAATATAATAACTGTAATAAAATATAATAATATTAATAACAATCATTGTAATGAAAAGGAATATAATAAAAAAGAGAAATAAAACCCAAGACAGACAAGTGATGCAGAATGCAATTGCTCACCACCCACTGACCAATGCCCCAGCAGTGATCTGCCCCCCAGCCAACTCCCCCCAGTTTATATACTGAGCATGCATTACGTCCTACGGTATGGAATAGCCCTTTGGCCAGTTGGGACCAGCTGTCCTGGCCATGCTCCCTCCCAGCTCCTTGTGCACCCCCAGCCTCCTCGCTGGTGGGGTGGTAAGAGAATCAGAAAAGGACTTGACTCTGTGTAAGCGCTGTTCAACAGTCACAAAAACATCTCCGTATTATCAATGCTGTTCCCACACTAAATCCAACACACATCCCTGTACCAGCTACTAGGAAGAAAATTAACTCTATCCCAGCCAAAACCAGGACACCAGCTTTGGCCACTGGGAGTCCAAAGGACTCCAGGAAGGCCACTAGTGCCAGAAATTATTTTATTTTTATTTCAGCTGTATGAGTAATTCTATTAAATTCCCACTACTTTTCTTCTGTAAGTTACTCTCTGGTCTAACAGATTTAGGACTATTTTCCTGAGCAGTATGTTAATTATATATCTCAAGTTGTTTCCTAAGACAATTCTCAAACCTTCACCATCACCCTGGTTACTATGAAAAAAAAATACAGTCTCAGACAGCTCTTCTGTAGATGTCTCTATCTCTGGCACTCTGAAATACATTGCTAGTTGAATGGCCTTATTCTGAAAATATACAGTTCACCCCTGGCACCAGAAGGGCATTCTGCCTCTATCAGTTATGTCTGAAATCATAAGTTTATTTGCTGACTCAAGGCAGCAAGGGATTCCTATTGGGCTATTCTAATTATATCATCATAATATCAGCTATTAAATAAATTATGTCTAATGGGGACTGATATAGCAGGTTAACAGGTCAGTGAAGGCAGGGTGATTTTAAGAAACCAGTTATGTATCTCGCAAAGAAAACCTTGTAGAAAGAAGCTATGGAATATGATCAAATTTAGCCCTGTAAGAAATTATTTTTGGAGCAGTGACTTGTCTTTAAAATCAGCAATAGTAAGTCCTATAAATAACCAACATAACATTAGCATGGCTGGCCCCCAAATAATCCCCATACCCTTTTTAATGTTAAATGACAGCCCAGTGAATATGGATTTTATGCTTGAACTGTTTGGTTAAACCCATAAAGGCATCCATTCTCATTCAAGCGAGGGGAAAAAAAAAAACCCTACCCAATTACCCATTGCCCTGTGTCCTTTTATAATGATACAGAAATTTCTCCTAGATAATGGATGAAAAGGTTATCAGCTGAGAGAAACGGTGATTTTTAACAGAAATGGGATTAAAGCAAGATTATTCAACATGTGTGTAGAATAATAAACCCCTATCAAAAGATGACAAGCACTGCGCTCCACTGCAAGCCAATAAGCCTAGATTTGCAAGATAGGTCTCATCAATTGCTCAAAATATTCCAGGGCCACTAGCGAGAAAGGACATTTTAATTTTAAAGACAGTCATCAGGTCTTCCTTGGGATGGCTGCATGCTACGTACCTTGGGAGCAGAGCCTGACAAGCCCAGGGAGCAATGCACCTGCTGAGGCAGGTGTAGCACAGCCTGACAAGCTGCCAGGCTCCGTGCTCTGTCCATAGATAACGCACATCTCCTGGCACACTGCCGCAGGCTAGATGAAAACCCGTCCTGGTGTGCACTCCCCTTCTGCACCACTTGTAGCTAGAACGATTCCTGACTGATCTAAATGATTTGTGACTATGACTTCTAGCTGTGTTTTGAATGGAACAATAAACCTTTGTTTGTAGGGCTTTTATTTTTAAAGAAAAGGGTTGGATAATAGCGAGGAAAGCTACTTATGAAGACAATATGTCATCTCTAATAGCCTTCAGAGGCTTTGTGGAGGAACAATTTTGCAAGCAAAGGGCAGCTGGATTATTGGTTGTTCAGTAATAGATTAATAGGCTTAAAGTATAAAACAAAGCCACCCCTTGCAAAAAAAGTCCCACAAACAAACAAAGCAACTAAACAACAGCGGAAGTTGTTCTAACACTAAAGGACTTACTTGTCATGGGAGCAAAATTCTCAATACCCACCATGGGATGATCCAAAGGCCACTGAAATCAGGCAAAAGCCCCTCTGACTTCAGTGATCTTTGGGACAAGCACAAACATTGCAGTTTTGAACACAGAGAGGGATTGCACTGAATTCACATACCTCAGCAGGAAGCAATGTGTAAGAGTAAAACCTCTTCATCTTTGTTACCAGATCATCTGTAGAAAAAGTAACATACTCCACAAACTTCCTGTTCAGGAGAAACCAGTCTGACCCTCCATCGACCGCGATTCCTTCTGGGATCCGCCGGTCCCCCAGGCGCCACATGTGGGTATCGCATTCCAGGAAAAGCCGATCCAGTCCTTGTTTTCTGATAAATCTGAGGGAATACAAAAACAGTCATTAAAAGTTAAGTTGTATTTTGTTAACATCACTAGCTCTATAAACAAAGAAGCTACTTTCTCAAACAAAAAAGGATAAAAAGGTCACTTGTTCATATCTCTGTTCTACTCACAGAGAGCTTTAATAAATGATTAATCAGTTATACATTCAGTTATAGAGGCAATGATCAACAGATTGTTTTTAAACATCATTTGCACCTTGTGGTGTCATAAGACAGAACTGTGTAAATTACAGAGCTGTATGGCATTAAAATCTGTACTATTCATTAACTCTTAACAAACCACTGCATAAGAACCATAACATGAACAGGAACTAAACACAATCTGTGTGATAATCTTTTGTCTCTAAACAAATGCACACTTTTTGAAAAACAGCAAATCAAAAGGTAAAATGACAAATTTTCTCCGATGTTATTGTTCCATGCATTTTTCTACTGGAGTATAGTTAGTTAGGAAGAGATACAATTGCATTGCTCTTTGTTGTAGAATGAGTATGTTTGCTCCATTTTCAAGTCTATGGGGAACAATGTTTTGTTATTGCTGAACCGTAAGAGAAGCAACTGCAGAACTGTAAAGTTATGGAAATTAATTATTTGAAACCAATATAAGAAGAAAAAAAAGAGTTGGAAGATCAATATATGTTTGAAAACACTTTGAACTGGATGCCTATACATGTTTTGAGACTGTCTGATCTGGGTTTCTATTTATTATTCCATTCTCAGAATTATTTCCCAGAAAGTGAAGCAGAGCAGCGATGAGTTAGCACATACCTTCACAAGGAGGGCCGAGCACTGTTAATAACAGCAAGTTACTGTGCTGAATACATCCCACATGTCCCGGGCAATAATAAATGCTAGCTAACCAGACCATTAGAGTAACTATCATCCACAAGACCACAGATCTCACTGGGTGAAAGAACTACAGGCTGAAAAGAGCTGTAGCACCTACAGTGAGGAGGACACCATAAGACCTGTTTCCTTCTTGAACAACACAGAACTACACTAGGCTTCTTAGAGATGTTTTAAGATTAGGAAGTCAAAAAGACATTTTAGTGGTCCTCAAACACATGCAAACAAAGGAAGGGGAAAAGAAATAAACGTTAAGGAACGACACCAAAGCTTTCTGGACTCCTGCATCTGGAAATGTGAGTGTTAATTCCGTAGGCTAACTCCCTGGTTAAAGTTTTGTTCTATAGCAATCAAAGAACTGAGACACAATTATGAAATGGTGCATATTAATTTTCAAAAGGACCATAAATTACTTCAGGGTCTATCTTACTGATAGCTATGTCTCTTCTCACAGTATGAGAAGAAGAGCTCCTCTGTTAACACAACAGTGCAGAAAATGTGTAGATGAGAGTGGAGAAATTTTTCTTTCCATGAACAAGTTCCTAATTTCATGTTCCATTATGAAGGATAATAGAAAAGTCTTGCAATTTTAATGCAGTGCTCTGGAATGTAATCTTCAAATTCAATATTTATGCAGTTATCTCCAAATCAAATATTAATGTGCCTGAAAGTTTGGTCATTTATTTATTTCCCTCAAAACTAAATGCTCATTTGAATTAATTATTTTAAGAAAATAATAGAATTTTATTGACCATATTTAAATAGGAACGTGAAATTCTCTTCCATGAAATAATTTCTTTCAACAGCTATCTCTACCAATTTATCACAGTTCATTCTCATTTTCAAATAGAAGTTTCTTTGACTGCAATAGAAATCCTCAAACCAATAAAACCACTGACCATCTGAAAAACACTTCTACATACAAACTCCCTCAGTCTGTATTACATGGTAGGGCTTACAGTTAACTATTACCAGAAAGCTCAGTTAGACAATTTCAGCCTTATTGTCTGAAATGGCAACAGAAGAGTATGGCCACACTCAAGATAAGAAGGTCCCAGCAAATCTAGGCTCACAGCTTTATGTTTTCCAAAATAGTTGACAGGCTCCATTTTTTGTATATGTATACAGTTCTATGACTTTTTTGAGCTAAAGTCTTGGTTGAGAAAATCTTGACATATGCGCAATTCTTGGGAGCAGAAGTGTTTTCGCAACAAATGTCAGTCCTAAAATACTATACAACAAGGTTATTAGAAGAAAACAAAATGTACTTTCCAACCATTCACCCTCCATCAAGTCAGCATAGCCAATTTGCCTTTGGAGATCTGCAGAGATGAACATTTTGCTAATGCTTCTTGGAACCTTTCTAGAAACATCATACCAGGTTTTAGATACCGGTAACAACCTAATAGGAAAAAGGCATTTCTCAGAAGGCTCACCCTTACCAGGCCTGCATCACACATAGCCATTGCACCTAAACAGAGTAATACGTTAGCATAGCAAATAATTTCCTTTTATATAGGAAGCACTAATATATACAAGGGGCTTTGAAGACACAACTTTCCATTGGGCAATTGTTTGTTACCCATTTATGTTCCTTGGGAGCCAAGGGGACCAAGTATAATTTAGAGCTGCTAGAAGCTAAATGATCCTGCCTGGGGAGGCAGTTGGTTGCCCTAGCAAGCCTAGGCTGTACTGCTGGCACACAGGGACCTGAACTGCAACCAAAGTGGGTAAGGTGGCTTTTTTTTTTTCCCCCTCTAGACCCTCTTCTAGTTTGACTGATGCTCCTAGCTACTCCGGAAATAGTGATTTTGGCACTCAGGGAGGCAAGAACTTACTCTAAGCATACTGGATATTGCCTGAGTGAAAGGGAAAGGTGCTATTTGTACGCCACATAGGGCTTTTCAAGAAATCAAACCCCCTCACACACTACAAAGAGTTCTTGAAGATTCTTCACTAGCCATCCAACACTGCCTGCAGCAGCCACCTAAGAAAGATAAGATTATGGAGGGCAAAAGCAGTACCCTAATAATTTCTTTCTAGTCTAATGCTGTATTTCATTACTTTCTGGTTATGTTTAATGTAATACCAAAACAGTGCATTTTATGAAGGCATGCTACGCTTCAGAGAGAGGAATGAAACGCAAAAAATGGTGACTTTTCCCTCAAGTCTTTCTCTCGTGGGTTTTACAGGACACCTAGCAGATAACTCCCAAATTAAAGTAGAAAAAAATAGTTTAGTAATAGCATTTCATTAATCTTAGCCAATGTGGAAAATTTAGGTGCTTCTTGTCACCTTGAACTTCAGATAAGACCAGCACACCTCTGACAACTGTAAATGTACTTGCCAGGACAATGACATACAATTACACCAAAGTATGGTTAGCTAAATACAATAGAGATTGCCATCAGATGAAGACACCTGGCCTTTCTCCTGATCTAAGACAAACAACAGGAGGAAAATAGTGATGATAAAAAAAGAGAGTCAACCAGGAGAAAATAAAATTAAAGTAAGATTAGGGTTAAGAAAAAGCAAGCCATTTAACTTTATTTCATAGAACACTCCATCTAAGACATTTTATGGTTACCCTTAATCAATTTTAACTCTTCCTAAAGAGCCTCCAATTTTGAGAAGCCTGGATTACACTTGCAAGGAAGCAGCAAGCATAGCATAATATGAATGCATCTTGCCAGCTGAGCTCAGCGATCAGGCAACCACACGTGTGAAAGGTGCCATTTGCATCCTGACTTTGCGTGGATGCAGCCTCGGGGTTTAAATGGTTCCGGATGGCTATTTTTACACTTCGTTAAAAAACCTACTGCCTGCAGCATGTGGTCTGTCACACTGAGTATAGATAGTTAACTGTCTAGACAGCTCACGAATGCAATCCAGCTTAGGGAACTCCTTTTACTTTGTATTGTATTTAAATATTTATAAATGCATTTCAGATGAGATTCTAGGATTGTGTAATACATAAAGCATTTGTAAGATGTTTAACACATGCTCCTACAACATGAATATAAACACATATCTCAGGTCTTCTTATGGTGTGTTTGAACTATTAATAAATATTGTTGCACAGACATTTCATATAAGGAAGAATACCACATTCAAATATCACACTTTTGGATACTTTTCTACAAGTGACACTGCATACCACAGCAACTCTGAGACACCCTCGCTCCTGAATGCTCACATGTATGTAGTATATAAGACAGAGAGTTTGCTGCTTTCACTTTTCCAAAGTCTACGAATGAATAAAACTTTCTTAAGCATCAGAGGCTATCAGATTGCTGAACAATACTTATCAGTAACTTTGTCACTAAAAGGTTCTTGTCTGGAAATATATTTTTTTTAAGGTGAAAAGATTTCTTCCTAAATGTTTCCTGTTTCTGGCCCTTTGCCTAGAAAACCTCCTATTGACATTTCACTGTTAACCAGGACCAAACCATCATTACTCATTATACAAGAATAAAAACTATGAATGCAAGTTAACAATATATTCGCGAAACAATTCATCGCAAGTCAAAAGTCAGTGTCAAAGCAAGGATCTGCAGAGCTTGAAGCTCCACTAACACCACGTCCATGTTCTCCTTAATGTATGCGGACAAACTCTGCACATTGCTTTGACTCTATCTGCTCCTCTTTTAACTCTCTTTAGACAAAAATTTGAAATAGTCAGCCAATTTTGGTGGGAAAAGTCAAGTAAATATTTTTACAGATGAAAAATACGAAAGGCTCTTGCCAGCAGTGTTTGCACAGACACCTTGGAAACACTTACTGGAGTCAATCAGTCGGGAAGCATAAAACAGTAACTTGCAGTTTAGGTGACCAAGTAGAAAGCACAGAACAGCAATTTGACAATCTTGAGTGTAACATTTGCAACAAGTAATTTGTGAGCAATCTCTAGGCTACAATATATCTCCATAAACCAGTCACTGAATAATTCTTTGTAATAAGCAAGTTCATAAAACCCAAACCTGTACAGAGCAGTTTCATTCCCTGCCTGCTGCAGGCCAGAAATCCTGGCCTCCATTGAGTATGCAATGAATTTTCAGTTGACTGTGATACAACCCTGACTTTGCCCCATTTCCACGAGTATTCTACGAAGGGTTACACAGTATTGTACA